CATACACCATTCTCTCGTGACCCCGGCCTCTATATTTGTTCATCCTCCGCCTTCCCGAAGCCCTGGAGATGCTCGCAGCTCCCGCCGCGTAATCAGCGCCTTTTTCGAAATGTCTTGTTCTTCGCTACGCTCATGACCTGCTGATGATACTCTCTCCTCAATTGCGGCCCTCCGATAGCTCGTTCCCAACCTTCATTTCGCTCGCAAAAATAGCCGCTTCGCCCAAGAAGCCGTGCTGCACGCGATCAGGTGACAACGCCCCCGCCCGGTCCGTCAAGGCTAGCCGCGGGGCGCACTCCCGGAACGCGTCTGTGGCGATCGGACATCCCCAACGGCGCGCGAAGCGACCGTCGCGAGCCCCCGTGGGCCGATCAACAGTGCGCCCGAGGATGCTCCGCCGTTCAGTACCTGACAGCGCGGGGTCACAAGGACTAGCTATAGGACGCACTTGTTGCCGCTCTGCACATACGGCAGCGCGGCGAGGACGTCAACTCCGAGTGTCGTAACGCGTACTTAAAGCTGCGGCGGTACGCGCGATGGCAAGTACAATCCCCCGACTAGCCCGTCATGCCGCCAAACCATCGGAGGTGGGCCACCTTGGCCCTCGGCTTGTTTGCATTGACAAATGGGGCGCTGGCCATCGGGCAAGAGACCTGCGTCGCGTTCAAGTCTGCACTGTCGACATTCCCCATAGTCGCCAACCGTCGCGCCACGCCTATTCTCCTCTCCCCGGACGAATGGCCGGGCGTACAGCGTGCCGCATCTGACTTCGCATCTGATATCGAACAGGTGACTAGCGTGAAGCCCGCCTTGCGAAATGTCACTACACCCACCGCGCAGGCGTCACTCGCTTCGTTCGGGACAAACGTCGTCATCGTCGGTACGCTGGGCAAGTCTGCGCTGATTGATACGGTCGTGAATAGGACGAAGCTCGACGTGTCTAGCATCGAGGGTAAATGGGAGGCCTTCCTCGCGAAGGAGGTCGCGGATCCCCTCCCTGGTATCAAGAGCGCGTACGTGATCGTTGGTGCGGATAAACGCGGAACCATCTTTGCGTTATACGACCATTCAGAACAATTCGGTAAGCCTTGCCATCTTTATCATTCCTCGCTCCTACAAGCTGAGCACTACCTTCTGTAAAGGCGTCTCTCCATGGTACTGGTACGTTACGATAGGCTTCTACAAAGAGCCACTGCCGTGTATTAAACCTATGGTACAGGTGGGCAGACGTTCCGACGACAAAACACTCGAATCTTTTCGTTACGTCCGCAGGCTGCGCCCACGGTTCGCCGACGGTGCGGTACCGCGCGATCTTCCTCAACGACGAGCAGCCGGCGCTGCAGAATTGGGCGATGGAAAAGTTCACGAACGGCACCGGGGCGCCACTCACCGGATCGCCATTCAACCACTTTTTCTACACCAAACTGTGAGCCTTGCCGTGTCCGAGGGGAGGAGGGGGCGCGAATCTCGGACCCTTGCTAACGTGGGCGCGTTGTTGCGTAGGTTCGAGCTGATATTGCGCCTGAAGGGGAATCACCTTTGGCCAGCGCAGTGGAGCAGGTGTGTGGCATTGCTTTCTCTCGCGTCCTGATCTCTTCCCGTCCACCGGGCATTGACAGGAGATCTTTCGCAGCGCATTCGGCGCGGATGACCCGCAGAATCAGGCGCTCGCAGACTGGTACGGGATCGTGATGGGTACAAGCCACGAAGAGCCGATGATGCGCTCTATCCCTGTCGAATGGAACCTGTTTGGCAAGGGCCCTTGGGACTACGGCACGAATGCGCAGGCGATATACGACTTTTGGGTGCAGGGCGCACAGCGCGCAAAGCCATTTGAGAACATGTGGACCGTGGGCATGCGTGGTGATGGTGCGTCTAATCGTCCGGGTATGTTTGTTCAAGGGAGAGTGCTGATCCGGGTGGGATGCCACGCAGGCGATTGTGAGTCTCGTCAGATCTGGATATGCGTTGACAAGTTGTGCGTTATTGAGCGCGGTCGGCAGTACCGCTCTCGGAGGGAGAAAACGTCCAACTACTCGAAAAAGTCGTGTCTGACCAACGGCAAATTCTCATGAACGTCTTCAACACGTCCGACGTAACCACCATCCCGCAGGTGTGGACGCTCTGTGAGATTCTATGCGAACCGATGCACTGCACGTCGTCTGACGCACGCACACAGACAAAGAGGTTGAGGGGTACTACGATGACGGCATGCGTGTGCCGGATGATATCACCCTCATGTGGACCGACGATAAGTGCGTACACCGTACCCGTGGAGCTTTGTGCATGACGCTCATACCATTGCAGCTGGGGTAATATCCGTCGAACACCCCTCGTGAGCGAGAGAAATCGGACTGGAGGTGCCGGTGTTTACTATCACGTACGTATTTCTCAGTCACCGCGTATAGGTGCGTATAAACTCATCTTGTTGTGCTCAGGTTGATTATGTCGGAGATCCCAGAGACTACAAATGGATCACGGTTAGTCATGCGATCCACAAAATGAACTGGCATAGCTCCTGACCCATATTGCACGCGCAGAGCAGCCAAATCGAGAAGGTCGGTATACGACGCATGCGATGATTCGTACTTTTTGTGCTAACGCTCCCGTGTACAGACCTTCGAACAAATGTCCCTCGCTGTCGCGCGCAACGCGACCAAGATCTGGGTGCTCAACGTCGGTGACATGAAGCCGTATGAGATGCACACGGAGTTCTTCCTCAGTCTCGGCTGGGACGCATCGCGCTGGACCCCCGCGACGCTGAACAACTTCGTCGTCGCGTGGGCACAGCGCGAGTTCGATCTATCGTTTTCCGATGCGACCGAAGTGGCGAGCCTCATTCACAACGTCACCCGGCATAACATGCGCAGGAAGCCCGAGCTGCTCAACTCGACGACGTACAGTCTGGTCAATTATCGCGAGTGCGTAGCATTTTTCCCACCGTCCACCGCACAGTATCCTCGGTAGCTAATTCTACACATGGAACAGGGCCGAGACCGTGCTCGCGGAGCTGCAGAACGCGGTGACGGCCTCTACGCGACTATACGATTCGCTCTCGGAGAGCAAGAAGGCGGCTTTCTTCCAGCTCGTGCAGCACCCAATCCTCGCGACCACGACACTCACGAACATGTGGGTCTCTGCGGGGATAAACAACCTACGCGCGTCGCAGGCGCGGCTGAGTGCGAACGACTATGCGGACCAGGTCGAGAGCCTATTCTTGCAAGACGCGGCGCTGGAGAAGGATTATCACAGCTTGTTGGATGGTGCGCGTGCAATGTGTTTTGTATGAGACGTGCGAGCTGATGATGCCTTTCTGGGCTATAGGTAAATGGTGAGCAATTAGGGACGAGGTTCATATCGTCGACTTGCGCTGATCCCTTCTAGGGACCATATGATGGACCAAACCCACGTCATGTACTACTATTGGCAACAGCCAATGACCAACACGTACGTACTTCCCTCAACATGCCTGCAATCACTTGAAAACGTGTTCTTTATAGGATGCCCATGATCACCAAAGTTCAACCCTCGAAGCAGGCGCTAGCAGGGGCAATGCGTATCGCCATCGAAGGCAGTCTCGGTGCTTGGTCAGTCCTTGTATATATGCCCTTCCACTACAGGTTCCTTACAGACCTCCGCAAGGCCTGGTGATAACGTCAACAACTGTGCGCAAGGATACGGCTGCCCCAACCCCTCCTTGACGCTCGACCCTTTCGTCCCGGCGGGCAATCGCTACGTCGACGTTGGTGCCGGAGGCCCATCCCCGTTCACGTTCACGGTGACGGCCAACAAACCCTGGCTGAAGATTTCGCCCACGAACGGCTCCATCTCTCCTAGCTCCCCAGAACAGAGGGTGTTCCTCTCAGTGGATTGGAGCCAGGTGACAGGAGCGGAGACGGCTTCGCTCACATTCACAGCATTGCCGCAAAATCAGCCGAAGTTGTCTGTGGGGGCGACATTCACTGCGAACAAGACCACCGTTCCGAGCACCTTCAAAGGTGGGGGGGACTTTCCACTTTTGCTGCATTGAGTCTGCTAACCATCCCTCGACAGGATTCGTGGAGGGTGACGGCACCGTAACGATCGAGGCTGCACACGCCTCGAGGAACACCACCGTACAGGGCATCGCGTGGACGGAACTGCCTAACCACGGGCGCACCCTCTCGGCGGTCACCCCATGGCCACGAGGAGGCGAAGACCTGAACTTCACCGCAGGCGCCGGTCCCAGCATGTGAGCGCTCGCTTTTCGTCTTGCAATCCTACAACTCTGACCAGCGTTCTCTACTAGCGAGTACGACTTCTTCCTGTTCAATACCAAAAACCAAGGCGGCAACGTCAGCATCGCTGCGCTCGTCTCGCCCGCGCTGAACACGCTCAGTGACGCGCGCCCTCTCGGACTCGCCCTCCAAATTGACGACGGGACCCCGCAGACGAACCATTTCGTTCCCGCATCCGTACCTGGGCAGGTCCCCGCGCCTTGGAACGGGGTTGACGGGTGGGTTGCGAATAGCATCATCTCAGTGCCGTTCGTGCTACCTGTGGAACCCGGCGCACACACGCTAAAGGTAGGCGCTTCGTGTACTATCCCTGAGAGAATGTAACTCACGTTGGGCAGGTATGGATGATCGAGCCGGCCGTCGTAGTTCAAAAGATCGTTATTGGTCAGTATGTTCTGGCTTGGGCCGCACTATGAGTTCTCATTGAGTATTGGTCTACAGACACCGGCGGTGTGCGTCCGAGCTACTTGGGACCTCCTGAGAGTATCCGATTATAACTACCGGGAATCAATTGCGAGCGATATCTTGTACCAACTGTATTAACATGAAATGCCACTCCTATCCTGCGCGTTAATACCGTTGTGTTTGCCGGCGATCTTGGACATAGCTTGGCAGCTTAAGTAGTGACCACTGAACTTTTCGTCTTACTATAGTCTACCCTAAAACGACAAAGAGCCATATCCGCGGCAGCCTGAGGTTGTCACGCAGTAGGCGCTCTCTCAGGTTCTCGTCGTCTAATGGCTATGATATCAGATTCCTACCTTGAGTGGCAAGTCGCCTTGGGTTTATCTGAAGGTTCCGGGTTCGAGTCCCGGCGGGAGTAGTAAGTTGTTCATATTTTGCAGCTTTGCAATTCCCGATACCGACTTGGAGGTAGAGGGTCTTCAAGTTTTGCAATGTTATAGGGCGCCCCGCCATTTTTGCAAGATCACATGATTCTTCACGTGACATTCTTTGTACAAGCTTGTATATGCCATGCCACATGCAATGTAACGTTTCCCGTCCGTGCGAGTATGCAGATTCCCCCTTGCCATCTCATCCACTCACCATGTATTTCACCTGCCGTGGGTCTTACGGTGGCATTCCAGCCTCGGTCGTCGTGTACGATCGCTTGGATCGCTCGTTCGTTTCAACGTCCTTCGTTGTGGCCCACAACCTACCTCGGCCCGGGGCTTCCACGACCAATGGCGAATCTGTGTCTTTTACGGTTTCTGGTCCCTTTCGACTCCCGACACCTCGTGGATGGTATACAATAATATCCGCGACGCCGGTTGCTTACGAACGTTCGTTTGATATTGTCATCGGACATGATTTGGTTGACCATTGCGGTCTTCGGGAGCTGTCTGGTGTCTTGTTGGACGGCATCGAGGGGGGGGGGGGGTTAGGTGACTTTCGGTGGGAATCAAGCCCCTTACATGGTGTGTGAGCGCACGGTCATGCACATATGGACTGTTGGCGTGCTGTAATCTTTGTCCCTCTCAGTGTCCTCCTGTCCGCTGAATTACTCGGATTGTCCTGTACATTCGGAATGTCGTAGACAGGCCGACCGCTCCGCCTGGTTGCAGCTACGCGACTTAGCAAAGCCTAAACCTGGTACGTGGTCTTTCGTAGATTACTGTAGAACACATTAACGATGTTTCCTGTAGATCCTTATACAGCGCCAAGTCATATAGAAGCAACCATCCGACTATTTGGAGAGTGCAGAACTCTGAGTTATACTGTCGCCCGTGACCGTCATCGCCATATAAACCGGACTTAAGTGGTTCGACGACATATGATGCCACAACCGTATCGCCCACCGGTTCACATGCTCGTATTCAACTGTCCGCTCTCGCGCCAGGCGATCTGGTCCTAATTACATGTGTATTTATTCGCTGGCGTCGTCCGCACATGTCTACACACGGGGGGTGGCCTTCATGGTGCTGTGGTGTATGATTCCACGCGCTTTACCTGCTAGCCAAACCTTCAGCTCCTGTCGTTTGATCATCTAAAGCCTGTAATCGTACAGACTGACGTCGCCATATAATAACCGCGTACATTGTTTCGGTATCGGGACATGCCGTGTAACGGCGCTACGGACTTATCTGAGTATTAAGATCTTGTCGAGGCTGTCCTGAGAGCGCCGCGGGATTGCCCTATAGTGACCATCGGGCATGAGCGGAGGGGAAGGTGTTGAATACCTACATTACCAAAACGGGATATGGGCTGCTAGCATGTGTCTGGCGTTCCGAAGAACTCGGACCTGCGTTTTGCTTCCCGACCGCCATCTGCCTCGAGGCTTGTGGGCTCTGTGAGCCAAGGATTCACTGAGCTGCGCTATCTAGGCTGTCTCTAGTTACCGTGGAACGACTTATCACCATGGCTGGGAAAACGCTGAGCAATGGCACGATGAGCTTGCGCTTCATGCAGAACGCCCAACGGGCGAAGCTGCAGGCCCAAGTAGAACTTGAGCAAGCGAAAATCAAGGACGACGCGGAGTGGTCTGTTTCTCAGGAGGTCAGGGACGCGTGGGGGATCGGTGAAGCTGCGAGCTCGAGGTATGGCAAAATCTCTTCGTGGGAAACGGGCAACCGAACTTTTGTTTGCGATAGCGGGAGCGAAGTCGTACACGAGGCGTCTTATGTGCCATTCATCTTTCAGTCGGACGTGGGAGAGGCATCTTCCTCAAGTTCGCGGTCAGAAGAGAGACCGAGGATCCGTGGACGCCGCACATTCAATGCACGAGGAGTAGAAGTTGTACAAGAAGTGAGTCCTTCATGCTTCGTCCAACGCGGAGGCTGACGCGTTTCCAGGAGAAGGCGCCAGAACAGCAAGCTATCGAGACTGCTCCAGATACCCCGGACGAAAAACCTCGCTCAAAATTCGAGAAGCGACTAACATCAATATCCGGCTTCAGGGCCCCCATATCCACCCAGAAAGACGGGAAGAAATCCCGGACGAAAACAGCGCAGATGCTCATCCGCGAGGACGTCTCCGTGCGCCCACCAGCGTCCATGCACCCTCCGCCAGTTCCTGTGAAGCTCGAAGAGGGGTTTCTCAAGCCCGCAGGCGTGGATGAGCCCGTCCGTACCGCGCGCAAGGCCCCGCCAGAAGGCCGCAAGCGTGAACGGGACCAGGACGGCGGGTCTGACCGCCCGGGCACGGAGGGGAAGAAGCGGAAGAAGAAAAAAGAGGCGAGTACGTGAACTCTCCCTGACGGGCTCCTCTTCAAACCTCCTGCGTGCATCATGTGGTGGCATGAGGCTCGCAATATCTTCCGTTGTGGCGTGGGTCGGCGATACTTCTTGGGCGGAGCAGCGGCCGTAGCACGGACTGTACGTCATGTCCTGCATGGTGTCCACCTGGGCGTCCTCTGAGAACTTACCGCATATCTGCACCAGTAGCGAATGTTTCGCCGGGCGATGTATGATACTCCGGTCGCACACACATGACTGTCTGTTCCACGCGTGCAGTGATAGGACTGGGTCGTCTGACATTCTTGAAGACCAGCCTGCGTCTGGCTGCCTCGTAGCCTGGCGCTCGGTTACGTGAAGCACAATGGGAGGTACTGGTCACATTGACAAGTCGATGTGTAAGCCTTGGTTCCCTCAAATGCTCTTCTCCGTCTTCTCGGCATGCTCTAGTCAGCCCGTTACACTTTAGAGGTGATATCGGTATGTTTTCCCATTCGGAACAATCATAGAGGCGGCTATTGAACTTTGGACTGTCCAAAATGCATAAGTCACCTTTAGCGTTATCAGTCCGTGTTGAAGGCATACATGCTGGTAGCATGACTGCGGGTTCGTACGATATGTCCCCCCGTATCCTTGCGACCAACGCGACCATATATACACCGGCTAAATTTCTCACTAGACTGCCGGTAAATTGAATGCGAACTAAAAGAACTTCCCACCGCTCTCGTCGAACAACGTCCGTCCTAGGTCGCCTGCCGGCTAGCTCAAGAAGCGCTTCTTCTTTCGTACGTATTCCTTTCTTCTGTCACCACCGTACGGAATCTCATACGACAGCACACACACATAGCACCCGCGGTCCAGGGTGCCCCAAGCTCTACCCCGCCTCCTGGATCCCAGACTCTATGCGCGCCCTAGAGCGACCGGCGCGAGAAGCACAGACGCGAAGCACGCCCGGCGCCGAAGCAACCAGAGCAAATCCGTGTTCGCGTCCCTGCGCGCCTGGATCCCGCATGTCGTAAGCGGCGCACCTCTTCGTTGCACTTCGCCGCAGCCCTGCGCTACTTATCGCATCGCGGTTCCCTTCGCGAACGCTCGCCGCTGGTCTCGGTGCGTATGAGCGCGCACCGGGCCCTGAGGCGTGCGCCGGGCAGGGTGGGCGCCCCCCGGCCCCACAGTGAGAAGGCGATTTGCCTTCCGTACCCGCGCGGCCAGAAGGACGCGGGCGGCTTGCCCTGCATACAATACGTCTTAGCCCTCGCGCTTGCAGTCAGCGTGGGCTGTCAGCGAGGCAGCAGCCCCGGAGTGGGAATGGTTTCTCGGAGCGCTCAGTTATCCGCGCGATGACGGCTGTGAGTCTGACGCACGCGCAGGGGCAAGTGAGGAACATTCAACCTTCGCGCACGCGAAGGTTGGGACGCCCCGGCCGGCCGTGCACCAAGGTTCGCCGTCCCAACATAGCGGACGAATCCCGTGTATCGGTTTTCACGCCAACCCTCGCCATCGCTGCGTCCGACTTCCGACTTCCGACTACCAACTTCTGCGTCTTGAGTTCTGCGTTCTGCGGCGGCAGACGCTGCGCGCGTGCCGGTTCCTGGCGCCGGCATTCTCCTGCGCTGCAGGTGCATCTCGGCGCCGGGCAGACAGATTGCCTGCGGATGTGTGTGTGTTGGGGTGGCACGCCGGGTCTGAGCTTGAGCTTGAGTTTGTTGGGAGGGCTATGCCTTCTGCGCCGCCGCGGTTGGACGCCGGCCGCGGTGGCGTCGACGCATGAGGCCTAGCTTGCGGCAAATCGCCTTACGCCGCGCGCTCGTGGGCACAGTAGGGGTGCATCGTTCTAATGGGCTTGCATCGGTCAGAAGCTCTAGGATGGGGTGCAGTGCGTAGGTTGGCGATAAGTAGAGAGCCTGAAGACGCATCGGTAGTTCCCTGCCCAGCCTGGGACCCCACCGGGACCTGTCGCGGAGCTGGCACCAACGACAGCCGTGCCGAGGGCGACGCTAGCCATAATAGCACGAGAGGTGCCGGCTTCGACGCGGCACAGACGGCACAGCGTGCACAGTGTTCTTGGTCTACGCGGCTCGACGCTGCACCAGACAAAGAAGTGTGCGCACGCACGCCACGGCAGGCGCCGCACCCCGTATTCGGAACACTCGCAAGTCCTCGGTGCTTCCTGGGGGCCGCGTCCGGGCCCCATGCCTGACGGAGCGCGCTCACAGGGTTCAGTCAGGCAGGCTCAAGCTAGCCCCTCGATACGCAAACCAGGACATCCGGGCCCGACGTCCAGCACACAAGTACCAACCGCAGGCACAAGCGCGCTGGGGACACGGCGATCTACGTCCTCTTCACTGGCTCTCGTGCCTCGGAGCCCGTGATACTCGGCGCGACGCTAGGCCGTCACGCCCCTCCTCGTAACAAGTGCACCATACTATATGGCTGCTCGCGCCGTGGGACGATCACGGCCCCGCGTTGGGTCTGCCTCTAGGCAGGCGCCAGAAGGGCCCAAGGCGACCCCGTACCGCAAACCCAACTAACCGCGTTGGGCGGCGCATCGCGACTTCGCAGCCCAGCGGAGCTGCGCGACGGGGTTCGTAGCAAGGATCTGCGACGCGTCCCGCGCGCCCGCGCCGGAGTGGCTTCACGGGGGCTCTAG